TCAGAGTGTAACAAGTCTCACGCTAGGACAGTTATAAGCTCCTGCCACCATGAATATAATAAGTGGAAGAAAGTTAACAGCACTTAGCAGTGGTGCCAATACTGTATCATCGCTGTTAGTAATAAAACATTATTTGTGTATTTGGGAACCAACTTTCCTATGAATTACAAAGCATGTGCAGCTAGTTTATTTTCTCACATGGTAAGCAAAGCGCTATGACCTTTTAAATAAAATGCTCTATTCAGAGTGCAAGTTGATCATTTAACATCAAGACAGCTTAAACTTGTACAAATTAGTATCGTCCAGATTCAAAACTGCCAATGCAAATTTTCAGTGCTTACAGCCCCATGCATTTTCTTTCAGCAAATATTTGGTCAGGCAGGAAAACTTTTACTCAACTTTGTCAGTAATAGCTAAAGTGTCATATGCAATGAGATGCATTTAAGGCACTGAAGCAGCAACAAAGTGACAGTCTCGCCACATGCTGTTAAAGAAACAACACCTTCAGTATTGTGACACAGTTCTGTGCTAATATTGTCAGCATGTGAGTTTAAGACATTTGTTCTTATGAAATGTAAAGATTTGTGTTAAATAATATTACCTTCACCGCATCTCATCTGCTTCCATATTGGCTTGTGCTTGTAGTCATGATGTCTTTTGACAACCCACACAGTTGAGTCAGCTCTGGCCTTATGTGAAGAGTAGTAAAAATATATAACAGGCAATAAGAAATGAAAAAAAAATTGTCCTGCAGTGTCTCCTTCAAACTGCATTATCTTATTTATTTTTTGTTTTGTTTCCTTGTTGTTTTTTCCATTTTTGGAAATCATTAAAAAGTCTACAGATTTATCTTATTTATCAAAAAAGGTTTTTGTTTTTTCTCCCCAGAGTTGGTATTGAGTGTGTTCTATGCAGCAAAAAGAGCATTTCCCCCAAACGTACTGAAGGCTTGGCCCTCCATAGCCATAAATACATCTGACTCATGCATCAGAATGAGTTTTACTTAACCCAAGTCTGAAATTCCATAATTGAATTTCAAGCCACTCATATTCATTTATTTCATTTTCAGAAATGAATTGTGAATGCATGCACAGAGAACGAAGACCAACCACAGAGCTGCTACCTCTGATCTCAACACAGAAACCACTATCCCAGCATGTGATAACTTAATGGTCATACTCCATCCCAGAGACATCAAAAAGCACTACTTTTAACCACAGAAGATTTCTTTGAACCCGTGTGACACAGGACAGTACAATAGTCCTTATGTGGACAAAGAGGCAAATCCCACAGCAATTACACTCTGCCTTCTTCACTTTCACCGCTGCTCTATTGTTTGGCTGTGTGTGTCCTGCTCTTACTTTGTTTTTGTCTGTCTTTCTAATACTACCCCATATCTTCTTCTTTAACACAGTCATATGTCTTCATAGCTTTCCATCGCTAGCTTTCCTTCTAATCACCTCAGTCATACAGTTTTTCTTTGTTTTGTCCATTAAGAAGTCTTCCATGATGGTGTGGAGAACAGTCATTAACAAAAGCACATCAGAATTTCATGTTAGCTGAAGGTATAAGTGTTATATAAACTGTTACGGAACTAAAACCGAAAATAAACAGTGTATATGTTCCATGATGTGTTTTGTGCATCATAAGTCATCTACAGATCTGTCAGCAACCGTGTAGTTATTGATCAGTGGATGCTGAAGCATTTGGGAACACTGTAAGATTGCCCTCCAAATTTTCACCTATGCAGATGAAATCCTAAGTTTGATCATTTTCCTTTGGAAAAACTTGAGAGCTAAAATGTGCTTTTTATCACAAAATATTTGTAGTGTATTGCCTGTCAATATGTCACTTGTATGAAGACATTATAGTTGATTTTATTAATAATACCCCATTTCCACTTCCTATCCTAACATGTTATAAAATCCATCACTGTGGCTGCACACATCTAGCCATGAAATTACCTAGTCACTCACCATAATCTATCCACTCACCCCACACACCACTGAGTACACTGCACTACTGTGTCACTGATAATGACTCAAGTTCTAAAAGTATCCACTGAAATAGCTTTTGCCTCTTTAAAGTAAACCACCACCATCACTGCGGAACTGACATTAGATTCTAATGATGTACCAGAAAACATTATCTGATGCTGTAAAACTGATATCCCAGCCTGGACAGCATGGCTAGTAACTCAACAGGGGCAGGGATAGCTCAGTAGGTAGAGTGGTGGCCCCATGATCGGAAGGTCGGGGGTTCGATTCCCCTGAACAGCTACCCTGAGGTACCCCTGAGCAAGGTACCGTCCCTACACACTGCTCCCCGGGCGCCCAATGGCTGCCCACTGCTTCACTGAGTGAATGGGTTAAATGCAGAGAGCGATTTTCCCCACGGGGACCAATAAAGTACACTTTCTTTCTAACAATGCACACTTTAATTGTAATATCTGAGTATAGAAGCCATGCACATGTACTGAAGAACACCATCCCAATACATGTTCATGATTCCTAAGAAATGAAACGTGTGGTACATTTTAGTCGTTTCTGCCTAGAAATATTCATCTGAAAAGTGCAGACTTCAATTGGATGTCCGTGGTTAGCATCAGTAGCAAGACACGATTTGGTGTTCAACCCAGGCTCAACTGCCCAGCACAGTCGTGCACAGAGAACTATTGCCACATAAGAATGTCAACATTTAATGACACTATAAAGCCATTTTTTTTTCTTCAGTACCTTGGGTTTGAAAATTCTCATTACATTCAATTTAATTGCGAATAGATTTCAATATGGCTAACATTATGGGAAACCCATTCTTATGACAAACTATAGAAAAGGTATAGTTGGGGAAGATGTGTTTGGTTAACAATTGATAAAAAGTCAAATGTAAATCGCAGGCCAGTAGCAGAAGACGAAAAATGAGTGACCCTCCATCATTCAGACCTCAGTTTAGATGTTTATGCACAAAATGTAAATAGTGAAATTAAATCTTTAGAATAATGACTTCTTACAGATTACACTAGACAGTAAAATTACTTGAATTCCAACAGTTTCTTCCAATGTCACAGTGATTGAACTACATGAATACTGACTATCTACTTAGATGGATTGCTTGGATCGGCTGATATCCATGGCATCATCTCTTATCAAAATTGTTTTTTTCTTGTTTTGTTTTGGTTTTTTTTGCATAAAATGTTATTTGGGAAAACAAGTAAGCAATTGATGTACTAACATTTTCAGAATTGAGGCATACTGCTTTAGATAATGTATTGTTCTGAAAGATAATATAATTTTAAAACATGAAGTTGAGCACTTCAGTCTCTAAAAGTTACACTTAATTTACCAGTCAGAAGTGATGTCTCTAGGATGTAAGACTACTAAGTTCTGGTCGATAAATGTCACTTTTTAGTCTCTAAAAAATTGCTTCCGACCTGTGCCTTTTACGTAAGGCTAAAATTTCACTTTTATCAATTTTATTAATATAAAAAACAAAAAATATATCTAAAAAAAAAATGTTTAATTCTCTAGACCATCGAGTATTGTCTTAGGATCTGTATTCTTCATGTCACTTTTATTTAGGGCTTTTCCATGTATTGAATATCTAAATTAATGTGTCTTCTTGTATATTGTAAAATAATTATTATTTTCAACTAGGTGCATAGTTACTGGGTGGCAAACTGCAGACAAAGAAACAAACTCAAGGAAAGCAACTTCTCCTGTAACTAAGGGACATTTCTGCGATCTTGCTTTTCTTTTTCTGTGCAATACACTGTGTTTCACAGCTATTCTCCCTTTATTATCAAATCACAAAATCTTGTTTTCTGAATTATGATTTTTCCATGGTGTGTGAACAATATATAAGCTTCTGTAATCTGTCAGTGCATTTCCTTTCAGTGTATTTGTATGTGTAACATGTTAGAGGCAAAGAAGAGCAGTGAATTTATAATGTGCACGTATCTATTTAGTACGAAAAAAGGAAATATACAATAAGCGATAATGCTGACTGCTGCCAAGACTATGACATTAACACCCAGAACTTATCAAGGACGCTGTCAGCACATCTCTCCCCCTCTCTCGCTTTTGCTCTCTCTGTCACTCACTCTGACTCAAAAATATCTATACAGAAAAAAGTGCACACACAGCCAAGAAGGGAGAGGCTAAAAGAGAAAGACAGAGAGGAGGTGGAGGACATTATCTTGATGAAACAGCGCTTGATACAGTAGCCAGAGCCAACCAGAACATAGCTCTGCTTTCTTTTAATGGAGATTACACAGTCAAGGTCCAGCCTGAGCTCATCTTATTTAACACTGCATACAACTACATCATTGTGAGTGTGTGCATGTGTGTTTGTGACAGTGTGTATGATCTAATATGCTGCTATCTTGCGACACATCAGCCATAATTACTGCACACCTCCTGACCTATGATCTGGCAGCCAATCAAATCCCCCACTATTGCTGACCAACGCGAGCACACATGAGTACTGGGGATGTGGTGCAACACACCTCACATCAATCCACCATCACAAGGTCTGCAAATTACTTGTCTTATTCAGGGTTTTAGATGCAAGTATGTTGCTGTTATTACATTGAGTATATCAGAGGGTCTTTACAAGACCTGACAAATGACAAAAAAGTATTTCCTCATGTGCGCACTTATACTTTCTGAAATGCAGTAGCTGTGTTCAGTGAGAATGCTGCTTCTGACATTTTCACTTTGTTCTTAAGGTTTTTTAAATTGGCCCTAAATTCACTTTCAGGTAGTGTTTTAAAAGGCCCAGTCTCTTAATTGCAGCATTCTAAAAACCAGCGGAGTCAAGACTCTAATAATTTGTAGACCTTGATTTCACATCTCTCTCTCCATCTCAGTCTCTCTCGCTCAGTCTCTCTCTCTCTCTCTCTCTCTCTCATGCTGTAACATATAGCTCTTCTTTTTTCTTCCTGTTTGCAGGGTGTTCTTCTTTCTGTGGCATTGTATAGGTTGGAGTCAGATCATACATACCTCCTTGTCTACATATTTTCTTGCCCGGTTTCCTGGCACATTCCTTGGATATTCTTTTGACTGTAAAATGAATAGAAAACTAAAGAATAACATGGAGCCCCTGGACGCGCAGTGCACACAGGAGCTGGCATGCACACGCACACACGAACACTCACGCAGTGCTGATTGACTGAAAAAGACTTGGAGAGGAAGGAAGGGAGAAATAAAGACAGGGGGAAAGAATGAATAACACCAGCTCAATCAGAGCAGTATTCACTCTATCAGTCGGCCAGCCAGCCAGTCATTCAGCCAGTCAGCCAAATCAATCGGTGATGATCATGACAACAACTGTCTTGTTTAATGAACTGTAGCCATTGTGGATGAGCACAATACGCTATGATGAGCTGCAGACATGAGAGTGGGGGGGGAGGGGGCCCTGCAGAGCAGGGCAAATAAAGAAATGAGAAAAAAAGAGGAGCTGAGAGGAAAATCTGTTCAAAAAGTCTGAAAGAATAAATGTGGAAGAAAAAATATTGAGGCAGATGTGGAGTGAAATTAAAAGTATGCACACTGTTCTCTCTTTCACACGTCACTCTTGCACATTCATGTAGTATAAGAAATATCATGCACATTTAACATGCACAAGGTCATGCTTTCCCTTCTAATGACAGACATACAAGGACAGAAACAGAAATTCACTCTCACATAGTAACAACACACCCCAACAACACTTTTTTTTCCTCTATCAGAAGGTTGTGGGTTTAATTCTCTCTGCCCCACCTCCCTCTGTACTCAGCCATCCTACCCTGGGCTTGCAGGCAAACTCACCATCCTCAGTGGGAACATAGATGTTAAGATAGAGGCAGTCCTCGCTCTGGTCCTGGACGTAGGTAGACACCACATCGATGCTGTTGGTGAACCACACTGGCAGCATGACATCTGGCAGACGGCCCTCGACGATGCTCTGGGGACACACTGGGGCAAAGTGTGTGGCATTGCGAATGTCAGGCCATGGTGCCGCTGGCTCAGGTGGCTGAAAGCGGCGCTCACCAGTAGGTGGCGCGGCATATGGAACGCCCAGAAATTGTATGACAGGACCCAGGATCTCATTGTTCAGCTCCTTCTTGATACCACGAAGCTTGCCATTGGCTGTGGTTACTATTGGGTCATTCTCATCAAGTTTCTGAGCCAACACAACAGCTGGACATGCCTGCAGAAGCAGCAATCCCAGCCATATTAGAGTGGATACCCACCAGCTAGCCTTTAAGGAACCTTCTAGACCTACATATCCCATACTTCTGCTCCCACATGTAGCACTCTGAAGTAGCCGACATCCAATCCTCGAATGCTGCCTCCACTCAAACATGGCTGCTGTCCCACGTTTTACACTTGGTTGCTTTCTCTGTTTTTGGCCAGTTCTTGCTCGTGAAACAAACTCCTTATTTCCTTTTTCTCACTTATACCATGCAGATGCAAACACAAACACAATCACAAAACTGACATTCATACAAAAGTAAGGTATAAGGAAATTGGTAACTCCGGAGCAAACGAGGGTTGTGGATGCTAATGATCCGTTTTAAAACCAAAGCACTGCAAAGCATCCAGTAGAACTGTAGCAGCCATCAGTTTCCTCCAAATTGGTGAAAGAAAATCTGTGAAATATTCCTCACAGTATGGAAATATATTCCTCAAAAAGGTCCTGTAAACAATCACTGGACTGAAGAAGAAAACACTGAAGATTTCATCTTTAGGCACCACTTCTCAGGAGATAGACAAGCCAGTCAGTGATGATGGTTTCCATATTGCCATGTACAGCGGCAGAAGCAGCGATTGCGGTGCAGTGGGTCTAGTAGGTACTTGTACTGTGAAGAGTCAAGTCCAAAGTTGGTCCCCTGCAACACAGTGAACACACATTTAGCATTCACACTAAGAAGGCAATGACCATTTTTAACCAGTACCATTTTAAATTTACAAAATTAATTTTTCTTACTTCACAGCATTGTAGACATGCCATTTAATTTGTCTCATACCCATATGCACGGATGGTTACATGAGATAACATTCCTCAGCAACACACAAGGTATCAATCAGCATGCATGGCAACAAATTATAATGTAGAGTTTAATTGTATACACTACTGACAGTGTGACACTCCATCCCACCGAGAGGGGCTGATATTTAGACAGACCTTAACTTGGATCCCAGAAGCAACAAGGCTTACAGTCAAAGCCACAGGTCATTTCAATGAAAGTGGATATTGTGACATCATTAGTGCCAGTGTACCACATGTTATGGAGAGGCAAAATTTGGAGATGGTAAATGGGTATGTAGCAAGGAACTTCATACAGGTGGCTACAGTTTGTGTCATGTCACAGACCTTGTATTAACATTCCCCAGAAACTTTGCCTGTTTTACCATTCTCCCAGTAAGTCTGTCTAATGAGATATATGGTAGTAACACAAATTAATTCCAGCTGAAACAAGGTAACACACAATTTTTACTTCACCCTTTACGCCACTATGTGTTTGTGTGTGTGCATGAAATTGTCGAACATGAAGGTATGTCCTTCACACTATGTGGTTTTCTACCTTTCCCACACTTCTTAGTAGTCACTGTTCCATCTGGATGAGCTCACCTTCAATTTCATACATTGAGGTAATCCTGTTTAACTGCACACACACAGCAAACTGTCAAACTAGCTAAAATTAACACAGAACTGCAATTTCACTAAAACACTAACATGTTATACTCCTAAAAGTTTGTGTATATCTGTATATGAAAGACTGATTGATCATGCAAGCAAGTACAACTGTGATTAACGGAAGCAACACAACAATGAGGGAAGACTAGAACCTGAACCTAAGTGTCCATACACAAACAGGAAATCTAAGAAGGCTAAGTTGACTGATGCACAATCCTACATATTAATATCTGATAATATCTTACCCAGCCCCAGTTACTGTCACTATCCTGCAAGACTGAATATTTTGTTGAAAACATTGTGTTAGCATAATGCAATAGGGGGCATTTTTTCCAACTTAAAAAAAGCTTTGAGCCACAAAGATATACATGTACATAAAAGTAGGAGTGATATGTAGAGTCAATGTACATATCACTTCTACTATGTGATATGTACAGTACATATACTGTACATGAGTGAATTAAAAAGATGAAGGAAAAGCCATTCCCATTTAATATTCAATTTTACCTGAAGGAGTCCTCCTTTTTTCTTGCAATGTTTTCTGTGTCTTTTTTGCAAGTCAAAATTTGTCTGCTATATTTCTGAGTGAATGCTGTGCTTCTGTTTGAAGTTAGAAGGTGGTGGTTTTAATGAGAAACATGGCTTTGCAGAATATTTTTTTTTTGCTACTGTTTCTATTTATTTACCAAAAAAATACAGACATTACACCTAGTTTGACATGACAGCTTACTATGAAACTGCACAAATCATTACAGTATAAATCATTGCACATGGTTTTCATCATATCTGAATGCTCAAAAAAGAGAGGTTCAGGTAACTGATGTATTTCAAGGCCAGGTGCATTTGTACTGTATAGTTTTTCTGCTTCAACACACTCAATACTCTTTTCTGGCATCGTTGTATTAAACTCAGTTGTATATAGCATTTGTATTCTATTTTATTCAAATGTATATAGTATTTTATTTTATTCTATTCTATTGTGTACAGTATCTTATTGATAGCTTATTCCAGTGTTTATTTTTTTCTAATTTTTCTATGTAACTTTGCGCTGTCCACTGCTGTAACAAAGGTTACCTTAGGTTACCTTATCTTATCTTATCTTTAATTTTAATTATAATCAGATAAATCAAGTTCATTAGTCAGCTTGAATGAATGACTAAATGATTAAAAGGGCTGGGCGATATGGCCTAAAATCCATAATTCATATTCATCCATATTCATAATTTGAAGCATGTGCGGTAACAATATATATCGCGATATATTCTTTTCTTCTGTAAACGTATTTTCCACACTATAACGTGCACTCAAAATCCTTTAATTTCCACAAAAATCGACAGTGCGCCTTTTGTATGAATTCTGGTTATGCTTACTGACCTTGAACCGATTTTATGTAGTACACGGCGCTCAAAAATCTGTCAAAAATGTTTTAGTACAACTTTGGTAAGCTACAAAGCTGGATCGAAAACTCCGTCTGCTTCAGGTCCCAAAGTCAAACGAACACTGTCTCCACTGAGAGTGAGAAACTGTCTAGATTCTTTCATCTTTAATAAAACGATCAGTGTTGCTGCTTTACCAGATATAACAATTAAGTTTAACAGTCAGACATCCATGAAAACAGAATTTATTAAATTGAACGGAGTTAGAAGTTAGCAGGAAGTTAGCTCGCTAGTTTCCACCTAAATATGTTCTGACTGAGAGATTTCTGAAAAAATTAAAATGTACAGCTCTGCTATCACTTCCAACAGAAAACTAAACAGCAGTGACTTTTGTAGGGTTACTGAAGTTGGACTAGCTGGTATATAATGATGTGCTACGTGATCGCAAGCGACACAACTATGTTAGCATAACATTATCATAGTGAAGCTGGAGGATGAGCGCTAACTTTTTTCCACTCGATAAAAGTTAAAGTGAGTGTTCCTGATGGTTAGGGACAAATGTAATCACATGGCAGGATGCTGTAAACGGACTAAACTTCAGTCAGGAGAACAACTGAGATAATCCATCCAGAATACGAGGTTAGTCATTAATATACTGCAACAACATGGGAATAGAGCATCTGCGAGAGAATTCAACATTAATGAATCAATGGTACGGAAGAGGAGGAAGCGCAGTTTTTGGTTTTCCTCATATTCCAAAACGTGCTTTGTCTCTTTGCTATTACTGTTGCCCAGCATAATTTGCAGATGATATTGCTTGCAGCCTCTGCAATGATTTCGACCAAAACAGGCACAGCTTGATGACACCATCAACATGCACTATTGCGGTAGTGCAGTATAGTCAAAATCTTTACCACTGGCCAAATTCATATCGTTTCTATCGTATACCGTTTAACCCCCCCACCCCTACCTAGATAGTTACAATTCAACATATCCTACAATCACAAGTGTGGCTCCAGCTGTATTGCAACTTGTTGGTCATCATATGGTCAATCCCATATGTCTTTGTAAGTCATGTGACCTATATTTGTTCTGTGACAGTGCTATGAAATACAGAGCAGTCGAGCTTGGGAAGCTGGGACTAATGAAGAATGTTTTTTCTTTTCTTTTTTTTTTTTGAATACAGCTGATGCCCTCTCACTGTGTCAATGTATTTCTTCTATATCTCAATTTTGCTTTAATTCATCAGCTTAAGGAATAAAAACTCCTGAAAGGACCCACACCATTATGATGTCAAATGATGTGTAGTAGCTACAGTTAGGGTAATTGGTAATATGAAACTGTCTGTAAACGGGAATGCAAAAATGGGTGTCTATCTCTGTGTTAGCCCTGTGATGGACTTGCAACCTTCCAGGCTGTACCCCACCTCTTGGCCTATGACAGCTGGAATAGGGTCAACACCCATGCCCCCAGTGAGTGTGAATTGGATAAGTGCTTCTTTTTTTTTCTGAACATCACCTTCTGATTTATGAACAACACACACACACACACACACACACACACACACACACACACACACACACACACACACACACACACACACAC